CGTGTTAGCCAGGATGGTCTCGATCTCCTGACCTCGTGATCCGCCCACCTCGGCCTCCCAAAGTGCTGGGATTACAGGTGTGAGCTATTGCACCTGGCTATTTATTTATTTTTAAAAGAGAGACGAGGCCTTGCCTTGCCCTCAGATCCGGGCTGGTCTTGAACTCTTGGGCTCAAGCAACCCTCCTGACTCAGCCTCCCAGAGTGCTGGGATTACAGTCATGAACCTTACCCAGCCTAAGTTAATTATTTTAATCTTGTCTTTAACATAGATTGTGTCTTCAAGTAGATTTTTTCAATCTTATTGAGGTATCCTTGCAGTATACTAAATTGCATGTATCTAAAATGTACAATTGGATCAGTTTAGGTTCACACATACCTGTGAAACTATCACTGCAATAAAGAGAACAGGCATTTCCATCTGAGGAAAAGCAATGCTCTATATGGAGGATGGACAACCCAAATATCTAATGTGCCACTAATTTTATAGACCTAAAAATACAATAGAACAAATTGAACAGAAAAAAGTTAAAAGCATAATAAAAATGGAATTCCCTGAAATGAAGGAAGACATAAATGTCTACATCAAAGAAGTCCTTCATTATAATAAAGAACTATAAACTCTGAGAGAAATTATTGAAAGACAAAGTTAAAAAGAATATGGCAAAAATAAAGCTATATACCAAGAAAAGTAGTCTAACTCAGATTTCTTCTTTTCTTTTCTTTTCTTTTCGAGGCAGGGTCTCAGTCTGTCACCCAGGCTGGAGTACAGTGGTACCATCTTGGCTCACTGCAGCCTCGACCTCCTGGGCTCAAGTGAGCCTCCCACCTCAGCCTCCCAAAATGCTGGGATTACAAGCATGAGCCACTGTGCCTTGCCTCAATTTTAAATGAAAGAAGAAGATGGAGTAATGTCTACTGAGGACTATGTTTGAGGGGTGCTGTATGACCCTGTTTTCCATACCTAGCCAAGTTGTCATTCATATGACAAGTCCACAGAAAGATGTTATACGGCCAGGAATCTATGAACTACGTCATTCATTCAGTCTTCCCTGAAATGTACGTGACTACAGCTAGCATCATATCACATGATGAAAGACCGTGTTTTCCCCTGAGGTTGGCAGTAAGTACGCTCACTTTCAACACGTCTATTCCCCATGGTTCTGGAGGTTACAGACACGGCAAAGGTAAGGAAAAGACATAAACACAGGAAGTCACAAAGTATAGAGTTTTATGTAAATGGAACCATCTGGTAGTTACCTGAGGATGGGGTGGAGAGAGGGAGAGACTGCCTAAGCTTGTGGGTGATAGAAATCTTTATCTTAACTGTCAAAAATAATATGGGAGAAATTTCCCTTTCCTGTCTTCCTAAGCACAGCTGGAATCCTCCCCTTAGCATTTACTCTGCGAAGTGGGATCTCACCGTCTCTTCTCTCTTTAGATCGTTAGTTGCTTGAGTGGTAGCCTTAGCGTTTGGGAGGAGGACGGAGGTTGTGGTTTCTGGAAACTCCAGCCCTGTGGCTTCTCTCTGAATGTGTTGACTCCATGGGAAACTGGCTGTTCTGTGCATGTGGGGGTAACCTTTGGATTTCAGTTTGTTTTTCTGCATTGGTATGAGGCAGTCACTTCACTGAGTATTCGAGCTGGAGTGGTGCCTTGCAGCCTGGCCTGGAGACTTCTGTTCCGTGTGTGAGCGCTTATTTTTATCCAACAGTCGCTGCTTGTCTGCAGCTGTGAAGTGTGTGTGTGTCTCCAGGTCTTCCCAGTTGGGAAGGGAGGGCCTCTCTGAGTGGTCAACATTTGAGGAGAAACTTGAATGAAGGAAAGGAAAGAGCCATTTGGAGATTGTGGGCAGGAGCATTTCAGGGAGAGGGAACAGCAGATAAGGAAGCCCTGGGCTGCGGGGGCTTGATGCTGCTTGGCCAGGAGCTTCTTCCTCCCGCCTTGCTGGTCTGCAGTGGGAAGAGTGTTCGAATGAACCCACTCATGCCTTTAGCCCTTCTAGGCCAGCAGGGTTTCGGGGTTGTGGGGAGCCCTTCAGAACTTCCTTCTCTTCCCGTGACAACCCTCGCCGTGCTCGCAATCCGATGTCTGTGTGTGTCCCTGGTGTGTCCTTTCTCACTTACACCCAGCCAGTGGCCTTTGATGTTTATGACAAGAGGCCAAAGCTCTTCATATCTGCAGATGAAATGGACTTTTCTTTCTCATGGAACTCAGTTATCCATTGTCCCTTTGTCCTTTTGCTCCTGAGTCTCCATGTGTCTGTTCCATGCTGTGCCAGCCCAGTCGTGGAACTCAATGTTTCTGCAGTTTCCCTCCAAACATTTCCAGTTGCTCAAAGGCATTTGTGGTTTCACAAATTTTACTGAAGGTTTAGTACGGAGACAGCAGGGAGTTGCATCTTGTACTCCATTGCAAACAATGGAAAATCCTCCTTTGATGCTGCTCTGTGAGTTACCCCTAGGTTACCCCTCAGTGGGTGCCACCCCTTAGAGATCGCTCTCACTCTGCGAGTGATCAGAGAGGAGTGCGGGGCTGTCCGTGTCCCTCCCACATGGCTGCTGCCTCCTCCTTCCCGGCTGCAGCCTCGGGCTGGGAGCTCCTGTCTTCCTCCCTGGTCACAACTTGGGAAATCATCTCCTATTATGTGTTTCAAAAATTGAGGTGAAATTCACATAACATAAAATTAACCATTTAAAAGTGTACAATTCAGCCATCCAACATGGTGAAACCATGTCTCTACTAGAAATATAAAAAATTAGCCAGGTGTGGTGGTGCACACCTGTAGTCCCAGCTACTTGGGAGGCTGAGGTGGGAGAATCGCTTGAACCCAGGAGGCAGAGGTTGCAGTGAGCCAACATCATGTGACTGCACTCCAGCCTGGGCAACAAAATGAGACTTGGTCTCAAAACTAAATAAATGCATAAAAGTGTACAATTCAGTAGCATTTAGTACATACACAATGTTGCACAATCACCACGTCTATCTAGTGAAAAATATTTTACTCTTGAAAAATGTCTTAATTATCCCCAAAGAAAATGCCATACTTCATTAGGAATTCACTGTCTATTCCTCTCCTCGCAGCCCCTGGCAACCACCAGTGGGACTGGGCTGATACAGTGGGACACACACATGGCACATGGGGACATCTGTACATTGGACTATTATTCAACCGTTTAAAAAATGGGCCAGGTGCTGTGGTTCAGGCTTGTAATCCCAGCACTTTGGGAGGCCAAGGAAGGAGAATCACTTGAGGCTGGGAGTTTGAGACTAGCCTGGGCAACATAGAACCCATCTCTACAAAAAAATTAAAAAATCAGCCAAGTATGTGGTGCATGCCTGTGGTCCCAGCTACCTGGGGGGCTGGGGTGGGAGGATCGCTTGAGCCTGGGAGGTCCAGGCTGCAGTGAGCCGTATCTCGCCACCGTACTCCAGCCTATATGACATAGTGACACCCTGTCTCAAAAAA